TATATTCTACCAAAGAAATATTGCTTCTTTTGCTGCTGCTGCTGCTGCTGCTGCTGCTGCTGCTGCTGCTGCTGCTGCTGCTGCTGTTTTCAAACACACATAAACGGTAGCTAGTACTACCATGTTTGTCAGCAGGTGTCTCAGTAACAGTTGCTCTCTTTCACGTGCAGCCCAGCTACTGGAGGAGTTAAAAACGCCACGAAACAAACAGAAAAACCTAGTTTCACCCAAAATTCGACATGGTTGGCACAAGAGAGTTCCATGCTCCAGAGAAAAGCACACACAAAAAGGAGTGTTTATGTAAACACATAAAACAGAAAATAAATATATTATCCAAGTGGACATGGGCATATATTGGTTGAAACTTTGTCTTACAAGGTTTCTGTTTTGTTTTGTTCTCTCTTAAGTGATTATTGTTTGGGAAAAAGAAACCTATAGATTACTTATTCATCTGGGAATGAAAGAGTAAGAAACAATACATTTTATTGCCTAAGCTATTCTGTTCAACTAATATTTTCTCAAATTTTCACTTCCTGTTTGAGATGTATAGCCATTATCCAGATGAATTTGGTTCCATTATAACCCAATTGATTGACTTTAGGCTTTTATTTCTCCAATAGATTTAATGAGTTAAGATTTATCTTTCTTGCACCATTTTGTACTTATCCTCTCTTTTCTAGAAAAATATATGTATGTGAGTATGTTTATGTTTACTCTCTTCCTAATTAGTAAGAGATTTTTCTTTCACAAAATGCCTGTTGGTGATCATTTCTACTATCCAGTCACTTTCTGAGTATTTGAATAGAATTATGTTTGAGAAAAACTTTTGTTTTCTTAATCCTTTCCAATGTTACACATTTCCTAAGAACTGTGACATTCGTTGTAAATATCAACCCTCCAGTATTATTGAATGAATTACAAAACATTGTTAAAGATTATAAAAAGTATTTTGTTAAATAAATATACTGTTACTGTAATGGAAATTGCTAGCATGAGGAATTCTTTCCCACTATTAATTTATAAAACCTTAAAGTGTGTAGCTCTCTCATAAAGCCATATTGCAGCTATGTACTAGGCCTGCTTTGTGAGATGCCATTCAAGACACCGAAAGTTAAGTATTAGGTCACGATACATACTACAAAAACTTGCTTTTCAGAGAAACTACTAACATAAAAGAGAGATAAATAAACCTGGACTAAACAAAAAAGTGTGAATAATATTTTCAAATGTAAATATATAATGGATAAAATTACTAAATTTAATTGACAGCTAACAGTGATAAACACAGTTTTAAGAGACTAGATTCCCTAAAGCAGCTCATATTTCAGAAGGCACTTCATTTGAACAATCAAGTTAGGCTAAAAAAGAAATTGGAATATTCAAGTAAATGAAGATTCGTTTTCTTCTTGCTGTTGTAAGAAGACATTACAAAACAATGATCTTTAAATCTTTTCAGACAGAACATAAAGTATAGTTTACCTTCGCTTTTGTTTGCCTGCTGGTCCTTCATTCACCTGCTGCAAAGCAGAGGCTGAGTGGCAAGGATGCCCCACTGGTCTGGAAGCCTGTCATTACAGGGCTGACTCAGTCCTCCAAGGTAAACAGGAGGTGTGCATTAAATCTCTTTATAATCAAAGTGAGTCTCCCTTAGTATAAATGACCATTGCTTTCTTAAAATATCCAATTTGAATTCACTGACTTAAGGAGGAGGAAAGAAAACTGATTGGGATTTCAGTGGGAAACAGCATAGAAAACTGTATAGGTAAGATTTCCAGATTGAAAGATAAGGGGATTGAAGGTTTTGTGTACTGTGTGTTATTTTACCAAACAGACTGTAATGTGCTGGCCTTAATAAAAGAACAATTGAATCTTAGTGGGACGTTAAGTATCATCCTGAGAAAATTTATGAATCAACCAGAACTAATGGCTCAGGATGGTGAGCCACTCAAAGATGTGAGTTGAGCACGTCTTTATTTAATATGTCATTCTCTTCATGTGTCATTAGACAAAATAAATATAAAGCTGAAAACAAGAAAGATTGATATGACTCACACACTGAAAACAGATGAACTCAAACAAGGAAATGCAAAAAATAAAATGACAACAAAGAGTGCTATGGAGGCCTCAATTGTTCCTTTCCAGAAAAAAGAATTCCATGATTGAAAACAGAAAACTAAAAAAAGTGGATGGAGGGCAATTATCAGAATGATCAGGTGAAATATTGTTTACAGAGCTCAGAACCAGTCAGACTACACTCTCATTCCCAAGGGATGTGGAATGGCAAGTAGGACAGACATCTGACTTCAGGATATTTCAACAGCTCTTCCTAGGTCTACACTTGTGTATTGGACTAAATGCAGAAGCATAGTTTAAATGCAGAAAGGTGGTCTCCATAGCGAGTGCAGAAAGCAAGAGAGACTATTCAGCTCTTGGGGAATTAGACTATTCAGCTCTTGGGGAATTTACTCTTCTCCCATGATAATTCTCTCCTTCCTTTGATAATTATGGGAGTTCCTACCAACCTCTATGTTTTTCACTCACATGTACCAGAAAGAATGCTACTTGTCTACACACCCCTGTTCCTATCACAGAGTCCTTCTTCTGTGCAGCACAAGAATCCTGTTGAGTAAATAACTCAAGCACAGGAGTGAAATTCCTATGATAGATTTTTCAACTATTCAAATCTTTCACAGGTATGATAACCAAGGACTACCAGACACACAATACTGATTAACAGTGTGAAAGAGAAGAAATTAAGGAAGGGAACAACTCATACTAGAGAATGGGAAAGAGAAGATAATATATGCAACAGTGGCAACATTTAAAATACAGAGTAAAGTGTCAAGTCTCTACTCAGGAGGCAGAAGGATCCTGAGTTCAAGGCCAGCCTGGACATTATAAGGAGATCCTGTGTCAGAAAGCAGTCGAGCAATAACAGAAATATTATATTTTTAGAGATATATAAGGTGCTGTAAAGTCTGATACCAAAATAAGACTACTCTGAGAAAGGAGAAATGGCATGCATCCTCCCAAAGAGCTCTTTGAAATCATTGAGTAACTACTGGTATTACAGAGAAAAGACTTAAAAAAAATCTACAATAAAAAGTAAAAGTTTCATGAAAGCTTAGAACACCAGAGAAAAAGGCAACACAAGACAGCTACAGAAGAGCAGGGATTCAATCCAATAGAAATGTCATAAGTGGGCACAGACTATAAAAGACCAGAGATCACTTGAAAAAAAATCAGAAAGAAAATTCTCCTGGGCCAAAGACAGGAGTCTGTATTTGAAGAGAACTTCAAAAGACATGGTAAAGAATGCCTTTCACATAAAAATAAACACACCACAAATTTGCTAAGAGCCAAAGGGTGTAATTATAACATTCTCTTTGTGAGATGAAAATGCACATTCTTTCTGATTGGAAAGAATGAGTGGTGTGGAATAGTGATGGAGAAAAACATGTGGCTAATCGAAAGGTTTTTGCCTAAATAAAAAGTGTCTAAATAAAAGTTTTCAGTTTTTTTGGTTTTTTTAAACAATGAATGGAAAGTAAAGAATGGTATCCTCAAGTAGACTGCTGCTACTCAGGTGACCCGGGTTAAGATAATCCTCCTACCGGTTCCTAACATAATCTTTATCCTCTTAGAAGATGTAATTTGTGGTACTTTATTAGCATTGGGCTAACAGGACCCTTTTGTTCATTTCTCTTGGAATTATATCTTAAATAGATATGTAAAACATGTATGGGTATTTATGTCTTTGAGTTAAACACAATAATTTCTCATTTCCAGTAGGCAGCTGATTAAGTACATAGTCTGGGAGTACAAATGTATGCAAGCAAGAAGACACCACAAAGCCTGAAAATCCTTTGTAATCTGCATGTGACTTCAGATTTACAAACTACCATTTGAAGAATCTACCATTTTTATAATCTGCATGTGGCTTCAGATTTACACACTTCAGTTTGAAGAATCTACCATTTTCATAATCTGCATTTGACTTCACATTTACAAACTACCATTTGAAGAATCTACCATTAGAAATATGATGATTGGGGCTGGTAAGATGGCTCAGCATTGAAGAGTTCTGGGTAAGGTTCCCAGAACTCACATGACACCTCATAAATGTCTGTAACTCTAGTTCTAGGGAACCTGAAACCCTCTTCTTGTCTCTGTAGACACTTCATGAACATGGTATACATACATACATACAAGCAAAACAACCATACACATAAAATAAACATTTTTTTAAAAAAATGAAATGTGCCGTTATTTTTATTTTATAACACTGGTGATATAATAAAATTCAATAATGTTCTTATTTAGAAAATGGTAAATGACTATCTGTGGTTACTAGCATTTCTTCTACTGACTGATGATGTTTTCCCTTTTCTTCTACATATGTCAGTCCTTTCATATACCCTAATTATTTCAGGGGCATTTTAAACAGTAAATCCCACCTCTGATGTTTTCATTGGGGGCTGAACAAAATTGGGTATGCCTCTATTATTGGTTATGTGTTTTATTTCCCTTACCTTCAAGATGATGGTAATATTTAATATTTGCCTTTCCTATTTTATTGGAATGAGTTCAGTGTCTGAACCCTGATATAATAATTGTTAAATAGTTTTTTCTTCACTGGAAGACTAGGAAGAGCCATTGCTTCTTGTATGAACACCAGTTGAATACTTATGAAAAACGTTACATGCTTATGCCTTAGTCTTTCACTCCTATAAATATATATTGGTTTTGTGCTACAGAAAACCAACAGGACAGGAAAACTCATGTAATACCCTTTAATCTCACCTTTATATTTCATTGCTTCTTTACCTTTTACTTTTTCCCAGAATACATAATGGAATAACTAATTAATTAACCAAATAAAGTTAGCATGAGAATTTTTTTTATTAAGAAAGAATCTTTATTCATTTTACATACCAATCAAAGATCCCCCTCTTTCCTCCTCCTGCCCCTCCAGCCTCCCCCTCCTAACCCACCTCCCATTCCCTCCTACAAGAAGGTAAGGCCTCCCATGGGTAGGTACATTTAGTAGAGGCAGGTCCAAGCCCTTCCCCCTGCCTCAAGGCTGTGCAAGGTGCCCCATAGCATGAGAATCTTAATGTGACCTTTTATAAAGTTTTACATGTATGCAAGGATATAGCCTACCTAATACTGCAATATTTGGAGCATATCAGTAAGGAAAATACCTCTCCTAGCCTTAAAAAGTAAATAATATTTAGGATACCACAATCTCTGCTGCATTTGTGAAATAAAATTATTTGGATTACAACTAAGTCAACTCAAGTCTCCACAATGAGATTTTCAAATGAATTACTATCCAGTGAAAGTTGACAAACTGGGTATAGTATATTTCAAACCAAAAAGTATCAAATGAAAGAATTTCCCTTATCATTTCTACTGTGTAGGAGGCTAATAGTGTTTCTCTTTTGGTATTGATGAGCCAAATCCAAGGTAACTCTGGATAAAGTTAATCCCTATTGCATACATTTAAAGAGTCATGTTCATTCCATAGGTTAGTATCCTAGAGTGGTGGTGGTGGTAGTTGTTTTGTTGCACTGCTCATTATTTAATAACTCACATGCCCAGAAATACAAAAAGTTGTTTCCTCTGGACTTGCTTTTCCTTATTTCAAGAACACTTTCCTCAGACAAATTCTTTTGGATTTTTTTCCTTTTTAGTTTTATTTTCCTTTTTTGAGATAAACTCTCACTGTGTTATCTTGACTGGTTTTTAACTCACTGTGTAAACCAAGCTGGCCTTGAAGTTACAATCTGCTTCTGCCTTCCAGGTGCTCAGATTACATAAGGAAACTGTTATGTCTGGCTCCCTGATAGTATTGACCTGTCTCTTCTGCTGTCTGATCTTCTCACTAGAGAGGCACTATGTGACTATCTTACATAACATTCCTGGTGCACTCTAGTCCGTCCTCATTCCTTAAGCCTGTTTTCTCTTTATTCTGTAGAATACTATCACCATCATAGATGTGTGTCTATTGACTGCTTATTTCTAAGCTCGGCTGTGGGGTGTCTTTCTGTATACTGTGAATATGTGTTGCTCTGATTGTTAGATAAATAAAGCTGTTTGGCCAATGGTGAGGCAGAATTAGGTGAGTTGGGTGGGACATTTGAGCTGGAGAGGGAGGAGAAGAAAAGGAGAATGGGGCAGACCATGCGAGCCGCTGCTGAAGGAACAACAAGATGTCAGCAGACTGATAATGCCATGACCACATGGCAACATATAGATTATAGGAATGGGTTATGTTCAGTTGAAAAAACTAGCAAGTAAGAAGCCTGACCATAGACCATACAGTTGGTAATTAATATAATAAGCCTCTGAGTGATTATTTTATAAGCATCTGCATACCGCAAGTGGGAGAGATTCAACCCTACCCATGGGGCTGGGTGGGACCTTGAGAAACTTCCAGCTGCAAAGCTCCACGAGGACAGGTCTGTTCTTATTGCCTAGCACAAAGTGAACACCCAACAAACAGTTTGCTTGGAATTTAAAACTAAAAATTGTTTATAAATGGGTTGAAATCAGAGAAAAATGGCATTTTCTTCTCTTTAGTATTTTAAGAAAAAATTGACATGAGAGTAGGGAATAAGAAAAAAATTCATCAGAGTCACAGTTAAAGTCATAAGAAAGGCTAATGAATTAAATGCAGCTATAGAAGCCTTGTTCTTCCGACTCGAGAGATTTGGAAAGCGCAATCTGCAGGACTCTCCGTGCCAGCCATAGTAACAATGACACACAAATCCATTCTTCATATTCATTATTGTCTTCTGCTTACTCCTTGCAGAAATGACAAATTTGAAACCCTTTTTTATGACATAATTCTTGTGGCTATCTTCAGGCATATGCAGATAAAAGGAGGATTCAGCTGTCTTTCGAACACATCGTCCATGACTGTTACATAGACTTTGACTGCAGAGGTTGGCTGCAGAGGTTACATTGAGAACATAGGGGCCCAATAGCCCTTGAATAGTTTGTTGCACAGATAAGCAAGCCTCCTGTGGGGGAAAAAATGAGAGATGCTTAAAGAACAGATTGGAGTCCAGAAATAAACTCATACATGCACAATCAACTGATCTTTGACAAGGATGTCAAGAACACACACACAGAAAAGACCAACTTGTTAAAAAATAGTGTTGGGAAGAACTGTCCAAACAAAATTGAGCCACCAGCCATACAACATAGGAAACTTCACACAAAGTGGTTTAAACTTGAACATAAAAAGCCAGTAACTGATAAAACCTTAGCAGAAAACTGTTTTTTCTTCCTGCTTCCTGTCAATTGTGACAGTTCTCTTACATGAGACCAAAAGCATGGGTGACAAAAGCAGAAATAAACGAGAAGTGTCAGACTAAACACTTCTGCACACCCAGAAAAGAAAACAAAACAGTCAAGAGAATGGAAAGGCATCCTACAGAGTAGTGGAAAATACGTGCAAAATTCCTATTACCTACAGTAACTAGCAACATATCTGAAGTCTAAATAACCCAAAGTAGCACACACAGTAACTGAATGGGGAAAAAAATACACAAAGTAGCCAGGTTTGGTGGTATAGGCCTATAACCTCAGCTTCTTGGGGGACTGAGGCAAGAGAATCACAAGTCTGCAGCTTCAGGGACATACAGAGTTGAGTTCAAGGCCATCCTAGGCAACTTTCCTAGCTCCTATCTGAAAATGCGAGGTACAATGAGAGCTGGAAACACAGCTCACTGGTACAGCCCTTAAATGTGTGAAGCCTTAGATTCCATCCCTAACATAGGAAATATAGATAAAAGAAAAGATCCAGGCATGATAGCACACATCTTTAATCCCAGCACTCCACTGGAAGGCAGAGGCAGGGGGATCTCTGTGAGTTCAATGCCAGACTAGTTATTATAGAAAGTTCTAAGCCAGTTATATAGTGACATTTTTGTCTCAAGAAAAAACAGTTGGCAAAGTCACTTTGTTGTTTGCACAAATAAGTAGAAAAGACTTGAATAAACATCTCTCATTCCCAGAAAAGTGCAAATCAGAGCTACAATGAGACATTACCACACACTTGTAAGGCTGGCAAATGCTAAAACATATGTAGAGATTGCATGTCTTAATGACATTGTTCGGAACCCTTTCACCCTGTTGGTCCAAATAAAAAAAGATACAAGACCTATGGAATACAGTACAGAATTCTTCAAAAAATTAAAAGTAGAGTTATCATATGACTCATACCTATATATGTACATACACAAATATGTGCTCATACACACAGTTATGGACATAGATACAAAAGAGTTTGAATAATGATCTGGAAGTGACATTCATACTTCTGTATTCAATACAGTACTATTCTTTGAAGTCAGGAATTGTAACTAATGCAAATGTCCATCAAGAGATAAATGAGTAATGAATATGTGTTGCATACAATGCAATATAATTAAACCTTAAAAAATAGAAGGAAATTCTGTCATTTAGGACAGTGCTAGTAAATCCAGAAGAAATTGTGCTAAGTAAAATAAGAAATTGAAGAAGAAAAAGTACTGTATGTGTCCATTTATACAGGAAATATCTAAATAGTCAAATCAACACGTTGAAAAGGACACACATGCTAGACAAATAAATACTAAAGATCTGCTGTGTAACCTCATATCTATAATTGATAATGCTGGATTATGCACTTCCAAATTTGTTATAAAATAAATGCCATGTTAGATATTCTAACTACAAAATTTTAAAAATATCTATCAACTATTGTATATGTACAATTTTCCCCCCGAGTATTATAAGCTACCATGAAAATGAAAAATAATTGTAGAGAATCCAATCTTAACAAAATTATTTTCAAATTTTCATAATAACTTGTCAGGTATATACAACAGCATTTTTGACTAAAATATCTGCATTGTGGGTTTAATTACAATACAATTTTTAAATGAAGAAGTAAGACTGAGAGCAGTTACTTAACATGCCACAAATTATGCCCATAGAATATAATAATCAGTTCCGTACTTTAGGCTGCCCAGTTGAAGATTGTGTTTGTCCCCCCTGCTGTTAACCACTGTCTGGTATAGAATTGGATGATCAGCATTGATCCCTACATACAGTCTTTGAACTTTGTTAAAGCAAAGGAAACAAATAATCAGCAGCCAACTGATGTGAGAGAACCTTTTTCAGTAAAAATCACTGTCTAGAATGTAACGGAGAAATCACTACTTACCCTTGAATCAGAATATTCGTATCCTCCCCACAGTATCATTCCTGCTGCTCCCAAGGCAGCACTTTCACCAATTGTATGCACCAAGTCCTCCTACAGAAGAGAAGGGCCAGGAGAAATGTCTATCAAGTCATTTTAGGCACTGCTTAACGACTAAGATTATATTTGTGTTCATAAAGAAAACAGTTATAGAAGAACCAGAAAGGGTGATTTGGCCATTTTAGGTTATCTGATAATAGCCCAGTGTTCCAGAAAATACTCTAAACAGTGAGGCTATAAAAGCAAATAGACTCCAGTCCCTAGTCTGAAGTTCTGTAAAATGTTAAGGTAAACATAGAAACAAGTAATGACAATACAGTAAACTAATATCCATATTTATAGCCCCCACACAGTATCTCTAGATTAAAGGAATCATGGCATAGTCTGAGAAGCTTTCTTTGAACAGGTGACATTTTAGATAGGTCTTTGAGAATGAGAATGTTTTCATAAGACACAGTAGAGAGAGTAGAGTTGGTTTCCTGTTCAAAGGGAAGACAAAAGACAGAGGCTCATTCAAATAAGAATGCAGCGACCTAAAGAGCTGTTTCCTATGATAAAGCACACAGGATTTGGAAGAAAAGTAAGAACAAATGGGTCCTTGTACATAAACAGAGCCATGTGCAGAGAAAAATCACCTACTTATGAGTATTAAGATAGTGCTGTTTCTAAAAGCCGTTGGGTGTTGAACAAAAACCTCAGTGCCAGGTGTAGGATACTTTGTTATGTGTTGTCAGGAAGACCCCAGAGGCCTTGTAACATGGACTGTTGCATTTCCCTTTAGTTGCCCTACTCCTTGATGACACCTTAGTGATGAACACACCACATACCTTGATGTAAGATATAGAAAAATAAAACCGAGACAGAACTAGAAGTTCCCTCCTGACTGGCTTGATTTTCTAGTACCCGGAGGTGCTATGCAGGCTGCTAGGGGAGAAAGGGCATTAGTGGTCTCACCCAGCTGTGAATCCTGCAAACTATGGGGCCAACATACCAGAAAAGATGTGGCCACTATTTTTATGAGAATAAGCTACTGATTTGTCTGATTGGGTTTGAGGCCTGCTCCACAGGAGAGAATCCAAACATGTTACCATAAACCTAGTCAATAGCCAACATCTCTCTAATTAGAGTTAAGGTCTGCTCAACAGCTCAACAAGAGGGACACCATGCCTGGTACTGGAAACAAGCTAACTACTCGGTGCTAGTGAAGACAGAGTTAGTGGAGAAGATCACAACCACTAACTTACTAAGCCAGCATAATCTCTAGCAACATTCAATGAACACTTGTCTTTCTACTCATATATAAGTGTAGTATTAACCCCCCATCAAGGGAACTTCTTTTCTCAACAGAGACATGTAGTTGGAAGTTTTCCTGTGCCCTGCCTGGTCCATAGCCACTCAGACCCAAATAAACACACAGAGGCCTATATTAATTACAAAACTGTATGGCCACTAGTTCAGGCTTATTATTGACTAGCTCTTACACTTAGATTAACCCATAATTCTTATCTATGTTTAGCCACGTGGCTTGGTACCTTTTCTCATTTTTGCCTTATCATCTTGCTTCCTTTGTGTCTGGCTGGTGGCTCCTGACTCAGCCTTCCTCTTCCCAGAATTCTTGTCTGCTTATCCCACCTGTATGTTCTGCCTGGCTACTGGCCAATCAGCATTTTATTTATCAACCAATCAGAGCAACACACATTCACAGCATATAGAACGACATTCCACAGCAGAGACCTTTACAGCAACCACACCCAACCAAAAATTAGTTATGGAGCCCAGTCCCAATAAATACATCCACAAAACATTCCTGTACCTAAGGCTGGAAAGATTTTAAGAACCAGAGGATCAAAGAGTTTACTGTGAGCTTGCATCTCCTAGTAATATCAGAAGCTATACCTTCAAGCCTCAAGAACATGACTGTCCAAATGTGGGTTGAACAAGGATGATACCAATAAACATGCCAAACTGGCTGGAGAAAAGCCCATGAGGTCTAAACCCTACACAGAGAACTATAGGCAACTAGGGAAAGCTGGGAATGAGAGAGGTGACCTTTCCCAGGGAAGAGCACACCAATTTGCTGTCAAGTGCCAAACATCAATACTGAAAACATACATACAGGAAGCATTATACAGACTGAACAGGTTATATTTAGGAATATATATGCGTGTGTGTGTGTGTGTGTGTGTGTGTGTGTGTGTAGAGAGAGAGAGAGAGAGAAAGAGAGAGAGAGATTTACATATGTGCAATAAAAAAGGAATTTAAAGTGAATTTGAAGGAGGGTGGAGAGGGTTATATAGTATATGGGAGGGTTTAGAGGGGGAAAGGAAAAGAAAAAATGTTGCAATCAATTTATAATCTCAAAAATAACAATTTAAAAACCCATGATAAGGGAAATTGGGCTGTATGAGGGAACTGAATATTATTGTTTATAGAATGTCAAACTGCCTTCTTAATATTTATGCTTAGGCTCATAGCCAAATGCTACTTAACAGAGAAGCTTTTCTTTTCGATGAAAGTCTCAATGAACACAGAGATTCATGGCTACTCAAGGTTCCAGGAAGTGACAGTTAAGTACTCAGCCTTCAATATAACAGTGTCCTATCCCCTCTAAGGTTCTGGATAGAAATATAGATAAAGGCTGCAAACGTCTGTCTGCAAAGCATGACACAGCCATTTCAGACATGATATCAAAGCAACTGCAGTTGCCGACACTGGGCCAGCACAAGACTGGCCCTGTCGATAGTGGATCATGGATTGGAGGAGCTCCTGGGACCCTACCCTCCTTGCCATCCTATTGGCTACTGGGAGACTCTGGAAGAGTCTATCCTTGTCTTCAGTCATAGTATACACAGTAGTGAATCCACCAGGTACCAATGGATACCTCCAAACACACAGTCACATAGACAGCCATTTTAAAATCAAGATCACAAATCAAAATACAGAGGCATGAACATGGGAGGGTTGTAGAAGGGGAAGGTCTCCGGAGCCAGGAGGACATATGAGAGGGTAGAGGATGAGAGTAGTCAAAATGCATTACATAGTGTATGAAATTGTCAAAGACTAAATCTTACCAATAAAACAAAGTCTTACCCACAAGTACTTATTTCTGGAATGATACAAATTTTCAACTTTAGGAAGATACATTTTTGCAGCCATATAAAGAAAGCATAGGATAGGGATGTTAAGACATTGGAGATCAAAGATAATAACTAGGGAAGTTGGAAATTGTTTTGGGAAAAATTATAAAGACCCAAGAAATGCAATATCAGTCAAAAAAAAAAGAAGAAGAGGGAGCCTATTGGAGAGCTATTTAAATTCAGATATACAATTCCTAATTACCTGTTAGATAACAGAAAAAAGAAACAAGGCACCAAGTGACTTAGTTACCTGTTAGACAACAGGAAAAAAAAAGAAACAAGGCACCAAGTGACTTAGTTACCTGTTAGACAACAGGAAAAAAAAGAAACAAGGCACCAAGTGACTTTCAGGCTGTGTGACTGGGTAGATTAGATATTGAGGAGGAGATTATGTTCAGGGTTTTGGACCAAAAGCAAAGAAATGAGAAGCAGAATGAGAGGAAGGTAGGATGAACAACAGAGGAAATGGTCTACATTTTTCCTCCCCTGGGATGTATTAGAAATCCTTTGAAAGGCTGGAGCACTCAAGGACCAGATGGGCAAATTTCCAGACCACAGCCAAGCTTGTAGTGACGTTCCAATCACAAGAATTGAGTATCCCTTATTTGAAATGCTTGGAACCAGAAGTATTTCAAATTTCTGACTTTTTCAGATTTTAGACTATCTGCATATACAGAATAAAACATTGCAGTATGAAATCCAAGTCTAAATACAAAATTCATTTTCATGTTTTATAGAAATCTCATACAAAAACTCATAAAAATAATTTTACTAAAAAATGTTTTTAAGATGGGCCCGGCGGTGGAGACAAGCAGACAGCAGACGCAGGTAGGCCCGCAGCGGCCAACAGGGACATACAGGCCCTGCGGCAGCTGGCAGAAACATACAGGCCCAGTGGCGGCCCGCAGAGGTAGACGGGCCCAGCGGCAGTGACAAGCAGAGGTAGGTAGGCCTGCGGTAGCAGCTGGCAGAGATATACAGGCCCTGCGGCAGCTGGCAGAGACATACAGGCCCTGCAGCAACCCACAGAGGCAGACAGACCCAGCGGCAGCTGACAGGGACATACAGGCCTGGCGGCGGACCGCACAGGTAGACAAGCCCGGTGACAGAGACAAGCAGACGCAGCTTGGAACAGGGACACCTCTAACCCCAACACCCAGGGAAGAAGCTATCTCCGTGGGACAGAACCAGAACGAGTCTGAACACTCTGTCTGAGGACAACCCAGGGCCCAGCTGCTGACCCTGTGAAACCCAACAACTTGGAGGTGTTGGTGAGACTACCCTGTTCAGCTGAAACCCATCTGGGAGAGGATTCAGATGCCTACAGTTTGAAGTCTGAAGAAACAAGATCAGCTGAGGAGTTGACAGATGAACAAAACGTGGCCTGGGAACACAGAAGAAGGCGCTGCCCAGCCACCAAACCAGATCACCAGAATCATAAGTATATACTTCTCCGACTGAGATCAGCTACCCCTGAAGAAATAGCCCAATAACACCAATTTAACCAAGAACTCCTACTAAACCAAGACTAAAAATTAGAACAAGAGAGGCATTCTCAGACACAGACACCACCTGCACCGCACAGAGGAAGAGATGAGTAGACGCCAGTGCAAAAATACAGGCAACAACATAAAGACCTATATGGCAA